CCGTGCTGCAGACTACCACATCAGACACACAGTCGCAGAGCCTCACATACTGTGGTCTGTTGGTGAGGTAGTCGATGGTCTATGCTGTCAGCTGCCTGTCAACTCCGGCTCCCTCCAGCTTCCCTCTCAGCAGAGCAGGCTGGATGGTGTTGAAAGCACTGGAGAAGTCAAAGAACATGACTCTCACAGTRTTTCCTGTTTGCTCTAAGTGAGAGAGACATCGGTGCTGCTGGTAGATGACAGCGTCCTCCTCCCCGATGCCGGGCTGGTAGGCAAACTGCAGAGGGTCCAGTGCTGGGCTCATCACAGGACGAAGATGGTGCAGGATGAGCCTCTCCACGGTCTTCATCAAATAAGTCAGAGCCACAGGTCTGTAGTGGTTGGGCTCCCTGGGATGTGTGATCTTTGGCACTGGAACCACGCAGGATGTATTCCACAGATCGGGAACCCTCTCCAGACTCAGGCTCAGGTTGAAGATGTGCAGAACCACCTGACAGAGCTGGTCTGCACAGTCTGTGAGCAGTCTGGGGCTGATTCCATCCAGTCCTGCTGCCTTCCTGATCTTTGTTTGCCTGAGCTGACTTCTCACCTGATCAGCTGTGAGGTGAATGTGAGCCTGGGTTGGAGTGGGAGGTGGGGCTGGTTCTGTTGTGGCTAGAGGTGATGCTGTGTTCCAGTTGTCCTCGGAGGTCGTAGCTTCGAGCCTCCAAGTTCTATTTTTCAACTGGAACGCCCCCTGAAGTCGTAGTTTCGAGTCAAGTGGTCGGCGCATCCAAACCATTTCCGAGCATGCGTTATGTCATCATTTCAACATGGCTGCTGTGTGCATGAAACTGTCAGTGGTCACGCTATCATTAGCAAGTTTCTCTAAGCTAACGGCTAATGTTGAGCTGTAATCAAATGTACACAAGCACCATCCCCATTATTTAACAGACAGAAAGTAAGAAGAGAGGAGGCTGAATAAAAACGAGTGTAATTTGTTTGTTTATTTTCCCTTTTTATATTTGTTTAATGTATGTAGCATACTAACATGATTGCCTGAGCTAACCGCTAATGTTGCTAGTCTTGCATGTAAACAAACATGGCTTCTGTGTTGTTTATTATGAATTACGTCAGACGTACTTGTAGTGCTTTATAGTGATAGTTAAAATATATGTTTTAACACTGTTTGTACACTCAAAATACCTCGTAGAGCACTATTATTGTATGTTTTATTGTTGCAGAGATAAATAATAGAAATGCTTTTTCCGATGTATGAAACTGGAACGCTATCAGCTCAGAACTGACGTCAGTCCGGCTTCAGGAATTCGAGTTCTGATACAACTAGAATGCAGCATGAGTAGAGTGCAGGAAGTGGAAAGTGGGGGAGCAGCACATGGTGGGGGCTAGTTGGGAGCTGTGAGGTGGGGGAGGTGGTCAACGGGCCAGAGTCAAACCTATTGAAAAACAAATTCAGGTCTTTAGCCCACCCCGATGATGAATCTTCTCTACAGTCTGGGTTGTTAGCTGTTGTAGCAACTGTAGCGAATTACTCTATGAAATTAGGACCAGCCTAATCTTCACAAAGGTAATCCCTCAAGAT